GTGGATGGAAGCTTCTACCAACAATGGTTGCAACTCTGATGGGGGAGGGGGGGGGGGTCACAACTCCGGCGGAAGCTCATTCCAACAAAAAAACAATGCTGGTTGCAGCTTTGTCGGAACAAACCCAGCAAAAAACAATGCCGGTTGCAGCTTCGGTGGAAGCCAGCTCCAGCAAAAAAAATACAGGTTGCGCGGACGGTTTGCAGCACTGCCGCTGGCTAGCTCTAGCCTGCAGTGGTGGGCATGTTGCATTTGTTGATTCCAGCTCTAGCTTCGCCGGTTGTACAACATCGCCTTCCGCTCGTCGTGGTCGGTCGCCATGAGGGCAGTATGCGGGCACTACCGTTGAAGCACATGGGGCTGCGATTGCAATGCTGGTAGCCGGTGGCGGTGCTGCGCATAGCACCACCCTGTCGTAGGGCCACCACATCTGTACCGCAACCGCCGCCATCGTTGTCGTCTTTCCTCTCCGGGATGGGTTCGAATCAGCACTGTGGTGTGAAGTGTTCGTATCGTGGCTGCACGTCCCTAACAACATGTAGCATGTCGGATCTAGGAGGGCACGGTGGGGCAATCGTAGTAGGGGAGGACGGTGAGGATGACCATGACAAACTGGAAAAAAAGAAGATAGGAGAAGGAAGAAAGACAGCGGTGTCAGTGTATGTGTGAAACATTGGGCTATTGGATCAGGTTTCGATTGAGAGGCCAGTGACCGGCGCCAGCTTCAGCCGGTCGATCGAAAGCAATCATTACCATATTTATCGTTCTCTTAAAAAGACTATTTATCGTCTCACATTTGCATGCTGATATGGTCAAATTTTTTAAAACACAATACAGACGTAGACGCAGGCGCTCATATATATGATTATACACTCATTTTCCCAATAAAGACGCATCGATGAGCACCTCAAAGTCAACAGGAACGTCTTCTCTTAGTGAAGACGCATCGCCGAAAATCTTAAAATAAAGGCCAGGATACCACTATCCTACTAACCATCCAACCACAGGTTGATTTGCTAGTACGGCCAATCAAGTGTGTTACTTTTTCCTTTTCCAATCCTGATGATGCATTGCATAACCACAGTACAAAACCGAAAAAACATAATTATTTGAAATTGCATTGTTTACTAGTTCAACACACCTACATCCAAATTAATTTAACAGAGGTGCCACTTATCTATGGCATGTTTATGACCAGCTAACGGTAAACAATCAGTTACATCATGAGAAAACAGGTAGTACAACCCAACAATGTGACGAGTCGGTACCACTTCAAAAAAAGAACACCTTTGACCTCGGCGCACTACCTCAATACGCCCGGGAACTAACTACCCCTATCAGCTTCAGAAGAAGTACAACCCACGAGGACTTCAACGGTCTACAAGCGACTTCAAATCTGCAAGAACTTTTCGCCTGCCGTTTTTTTTTCTGATTTGGCGTGAAATACGCACGGTGCTTAACTGGGGGCAGAGCTCGGAGGCTCGCTCACTGTTGTCTGCACAGACAGCACCCACATTCCAGCCGAAGGCGTTGAGGCCTTTGCGGAAACAACATCCAGAAATGACAAATGCTGGAGCTAACTGATCCGGCTGCTATCGGCCTACCCGCCGCCTCTTCCTCTCCTGCTCACGCCTCTCTTCTTCCTCAAGCAGGCGGAGCTCCTCTTCGTCCTCCTGCCTTGCAATCCTCGCGCTGACCAAGTAAGCAAACAACAGAGCAAGGTCAATAAGATGCAAACTATTCAGCAATTTGAGTGATTACTACTATCGGTCATCCAGTTCCATTTTCTGGAACGAGTTCTAAACAACATCCAATCTCATTCAAGTGTGTCGCACAACACACTTTACTGAGTACTCCCCCTCCGTCCTGAATTACTTGTCGCAGAAATGGACGTATCTAGACGTATTTTTAGTTCTATACATCTATTTCTATCCATTTCTTCGACAAGTAATCAGGGCGGAAGAAGTATATAATTATACTAGGAGAGTATAGACTAAAAGTAACCAACGAGGGGAACATATTTTGCCGACTAATATGCTGATTTCTTTTTGCCACAGATTTTCTTCAGTGTAATGTGGACAAGACACCATCAGTCCATGACTAATCCAGAAATTGTGCATATTTCTCAAATGATCTCTATTTGTTTTCAGCTTCTACAATCTTGCAACAGGACAAAATATAAATATATACGAAAAATGCATTATGTGAAGAACATGGATACCTTCTTTTCTCTTCCATCTCTATAGTAGCAAAATCTGCTTCCATGTCACTATCATCATCATCTCTGCCTGCATATTTACTAGGGTCATACCTGCACCGGAAATCCAGACTTGTAAGAGTTTTCTTCTTTTCAAAGCAACATAACATATAATCTTATTTCGTGCCATACAATTAAATCAAATAACCTTGTTATTAAAAAGCCACTAAAGCAATATGTAACATATAAAAAAGTCAAGGTGAAATTTCAACAGGTATTGCAATCGGTGTAGTCAGTACATGATCCATGTTAAGTAAATTATCCAAACACTAGTAGAGTAGACACTGACGCTCAGAAGATACAAACCCGGTTGTATACCAAATCTATACACAGACGGAACATATTATCAAACATTTTAACCAGGATAACTGATAATATGCCCAGAAACAGTACGGGATGAAAATTTACCTGAACATACTCCTGATCATAGCCATGGGATCATCCTCATCTTCAATGTCGTCATCAAACCTTCGTTTCCCCAATTGCTTTTTCTTTGCACGATCATCACGTCCATTGGCAGATACTTGTCGAGATGGCTGCATGGGCACACAAACACAATGAAGAAACAAACTTAGCGCGACAATATCATTACAAATCATCACACTCTGAACATGAAAATGTATGCACATGGCATAACACCAAAAGAAAAACCAACAGATAATTGCTTCACCAGTACTACTTTTTTGACAAATGAACAGCTTGACAGAATATTACCATAGGTTTCGAGGGAGTCCTTACCTGCCTTTCGGATGGTTTTACTCGATCATTTGCTTGGACTCTTCTTTGCTCAGGATAATGACCTTGCGAGGAAAGAGGCCTTTGCCGTTGCAACATCTGCTGCGGCCTGTTGCTTTGTGGCAGCTGTCTTTGGCTTTGTGAGGATTGCAACTGTGAAGATTGCTGTGGTCTCTGTCTCTGTAGTGATTGTTGCGGTCTCTGACTCTGCGATGATTGTGGTCTCTGACTCTGCGATGACTGCAGTGGCCTCTCACGCTGTGACGACTGCAGTTGCCTCTGGCTATGCGAGGACTGCAGTGGCCTCTGGCTCTGTGACTGCAGTGGCCTCTGGCTCTGCGACGACTGCAGTGGCCTCTGGCTCTGCGACGACTGCTGTGGCCTCTGGCTCTGCGACGACTGTTGTGGCCTCTGGCTCTGCGACGACTGTTGTGGCCTCTGGCTCTGCGATGACTGTTGTGGTCTCTGGCTCTGCAACGACTGCTGCGGCCTCTGGCCATACGAGGCTGATTGCATCCTCTGACTTTGTGAGGGCTGTTGTCGACCATTAGGTAACACAGGTTGCTTTCTAGCTAAATGATCCTTTCTAAGAGACTGTTCATTCACTTCCTTCATAGAAGGCTTATTTGCTATCTGACCCTTGCTCGGAAATTTTTGGCTTGCAGCTTTGCTTCCAGTGGCCTGGCTGGACCCATTTCTAACAACACTATGCATCCTTCCATTGTCAACAGCCCTTTCTCTACTTAGGAGCATCTCCTTTCCCTTGGATTCAAACTTACTTTCCGGGCGTCTTTGTGTGGACGATGTGTTGTTGTTCAACCCATGACCATTTGGCAATCTGGCGGGCTGACTTGTTGGCGCCCTACTCTTCACTGCAGAATGCATCACCTCACGATCTTTGACACAACAAAACCAACCATCAGCACTCTCCGCTAAACAAGAAAGACAAAGTTTCGCAATAGAAGTTCAAACTCACCAGACTTTTGGGTCAATGAAGGCCTAGCCGCAGGTTTTTCCCTTGGAGGAGATGGAATGTCAGCATCATCCGAGAGTAGAAATGAATAGTCCCGATTATCCTTAAGTGCCTCAGCTTTCTTTTTTGCCTGCATTGCAGCTGCTATTTTGTGACTGCACTGGCCAACGTTTAATAAAGCAAAGAAATGAACAATGTAAAAAAGAAATATCCCTTGTACCTCATTAACAATCTTTTGCTTCTGGTGAAATCCATTTGTTTTAGCTTGCACTTGCACTCTCGAAGATGATGGGATGTCCTTCTGCATATATGTTACCTGCAATTAGTAAGGGATGGATCAACAATAATCATAATGAGATGTAATGCCACATACTCCAGGAGGTCTTCGTTCTCTGGGCACTGTGTTCTGTATCTCTTTCATTGACTTCCTTTCTTCAATCACACGCTGGGAAATCACCGGCTTGGAGGGCCCAAAGAAGGAGCCAAAACTACATGAGTGAATGAATACATAATGAAGATTGATTCCCCATTACCGTACCAAGATCAGTAAGACGAAATGTTGAATTTGAGTGGACAACAATATTTCAAGAAAGGATAGCATGACAATCTGTTTAGTATGATAACTTCGCAGTTCCAAGACCAATTATCAACATATAAACTTAACACGCTAAAGAAACTGATAGAAGGTATACGAGAAGGAATCATTGTCCAACTATTTTCCTCCCAGAATTGTATTTTTCTACACTATACAGGTTCCTGGAGCACAACCAAATAAAATGCTCAATAAATTGTACAAGAGGCGCATTGAAATTCAGAGACACTTACTTGGGTGGGGGTGGTCTTCTATCATGCAAGGAAGACGAGCGACCAGCTGTGCTAGCACTGGCACCCTGTGCCTTCCGCCTAATCTGCTCCTTCAATCGTTCTCTAATTTGAAGGAACTCCTGCTGACCCTCTGGTGGCTCTTCGTCCTCCTCAGGAGCTCCTGCACCTTCCTCCTCGTACTCATCTTCATCATAGTACTCGTCCTCATACTCATCCTCCACTGCCCGATGATAACCCTTTTACAATGATTACAAAAAGAAATGCATTGTCAGTCTACCACAAATGAAATGGCTATAGGTTAAGCCTACATGTTTAGATGCAGAAACAATGGACTTAGAAGCTTAAATTACATTAGTCTCATATAAAGGTCAAGAAATGCACTGTCAGTCTATCACAGATGCAATGGCTATAGTTCCTGCTTTACAAATGAATGAAGCATACATGTTCATGATAATATCAGAATATCCAGAAAACTATGATTCCGGCTGCTCCTACAGATGATAGATACACAAACAGTAGTACTGAAATGGAGTTAGAAGCTTGGATTATTACATTGGTCTCATACTCGTAGCGGCTCATTTGCGCCAGTGATCCCGTCGCGTCAGCGTCCCAGCTCCTGAATCAAAGCCAGCAATCCTCATGAGTATGCAAAATAACGCCGCGAATATTTTCACAGAGTGTCGAAGTTTTAGCTAAAGAAAGCATCGAGCCGGGACCAGAGCGCCCAAATACGCTCCAGGAAAGCAGCAATCGGCCCCCGAAATCCCGCTGTCGAGGGCCCAAACCACGTTGCCTACAGCTAATCGCACGAGCCCCACCCCGAAACGCGAATAAACGAGCGGCCCCGTCTAGGGTTTCCGCAGGCGCGAAAACGCAAATCTGGGCCGCCGCCGCCGCCGCGGAAAACGACACTCCCCGTCGAACCGGCCCAAATTCGCGCCGTCGGGCAAGGGCGCTCACCTCGGCGCGCGGAGAATCGCCTCTTCCGGGGCCGGCGGGGGGCCGCGCGGGGCGGATTCGTCCCGGCGAGATTCCTCGCGACCGCGGCTGGATCAGAGGACGGGCGCCGCGGGGAAAGTCGTCGCGGGGAGGAGGGCGAGCTCGGGGGGCGACGGGAGCCGGTCGGGGCCCGGCTCGGGGTCGCGGGGCGCGGGCGGGAGGCCGGCGGGAAGGAGGAGTCGCCGGCGCGGGGGCACGGGAGGGGAAGCGGAGGGAGGCTTTAGGGGAAGGGCTGCTTCGTTGGGTCGGGAATGTGGAGCAGCGAGCGAGGCCGCGAGAGGGGAATCGGGTCGAAGGCCTGGCGGTTTATAAATAGGCGTGTGCGTGCGTTTCCGCGAGGTAAGAAAACTGACATGACGTGACGTCTTGCCCGGGGCTGGCTGGATGGATAGATAGATGTCTCTGGAAAGAGTCTGTGGGTCAGGTGGGCCTTCCCCTCTTCTTTGAGAGAGTGGCCGCATGTACGACGACTATCGCCGCCTATATGGTGTTGCAGGCCCATCTTTCTTTCCTCTTTTGCCACCAAACTATCCCCTTCTAATTCTAAAAAAAAGGTGATTATCCCCTTCTGTTACTAAAAAAACGTGATTATCCCCTTCTGTTACTAAAATAAAAGGTGATTATCCCCTTTTTTGTGTAAAAGGTGATTATCCTCTTTTCAACAGATTCTACAAAAATAAACCTTCTCAACACTACTACTCCTTTCGTTCCTGAATACAAGTCTTTCTTCAGATTTCAATATAAATTACATACGGGTGTATATAGACATAGTTTAGAGCGTAGATTTACTTATTCTGCTCCCTATGTTGTCCATATTAAAATCTCTTGATAGACTTATCTTCAGGAATGGAGAGAGTATCTCTGCTATTAAAGGGAGTCGCCATTTCTTTTGGTCCCCTACAGTCATTAATAAAAGCACCAAAACCCATCCCAGAAAAGTACCTTGAAAAA